CTTAAATACTTTTTCCTCTAATATTTGCTAAATATTATCTCTTTATACCCATATACGGAGTAGTAGTTTATTACTACGTAGTAAATTTAGACTTACATTTCAATTTGTTAGCAAAATTTACACCTATATATTAACACAAATAAGTTGATACCCTTTATAGTAAATTTACACTCAATCAGCCATTTCAGCCAATATATTACCAAACACTTTCTCTTCAGCAAATTAAATCTTATCAGGCTTTTCAGCCAATCCAGTCAATGCAGCTGTTACCAAACAGGCCCAATATATACTTAAGAAATTTTTTTCTTGCAGGGGCCGTGGCCACCTCCAGCCTCTCCCTGTCTCCACCCCTGGGTCTTACAACTTCCTAAGCATGTAATTATTTTGTTTATTTTCCAATCTCGATGGGAAATTGTATGATCAATGCTAAGTATACACCTTTAAAGAGGCAGTTTTTCTACTAATATTATGAAAATGAAAATGTGATACTCCTTACATATTAATATTGGGTGTTTGACAATGTGAAAATTTTGATGCGAAGGTGATTATCCCAACATTGTCGAACTTCGTGATTATCCCAAAAGGGATTGTCAATCACCTTCGTGATACTCCCATTTTTGTTAATATGAAGGTGATTATCACAACTTTGTCGAACTTCGTGCTCTGAAAAGTCAATCCCAAATTCTTAAGATATGTAAATCTGAGTTGGTCAAACTATTCGTTAGATTCTCACTGTCATCTGATGGCATAATTAAACATATAACATATGCATCCCGTGCAATGCATAGGTAAAGAATCTAGTGGCAGGGAAAAGAAAGATGGTGGTGGGGCCAAAGAATAAAGAAGGATGAGGTGGGCAGGAAGAAAGAGCGAAGAGAATGGAAAAGAAAAAAAAAGAAAAAAGAATAAAGAAAAAGGGAAAAATTGACATGGCAACCATGTTACAGAAGTCACCGGTTAATCGAACATTAACTGGCTGAATTTGAAATTTGAGTGTTGCTTTATTTCGAGGGCTTAATTGACTTTTTGGATAAACATGGAGGGTCAATTTGATAGTTTACCCTAATCTGATATGAGTCTTTGACATAGTAAGTTAGTAACTATGAGAATAGTTTGAAATATTTATAGGCCAGATCTCTTTATGTGGCTTTCTCTTCTTAAAATTGCTTTCCAGTTTACAAATAAACGGGGAAATGAACGGATCACACATTCACATCCCTACATTTTTCTTTATAAGACGATATAAAAAATCACTTTTTTTAAGTTTATCTTGTATCAATATTAATGTAGAATCTTCTTGTTCAACTTTATTTATCATAAAATAATAAAAAGTCAGAATTTGATTTTTAAATCTTACTACCGAGACTATCATGGTACCCACCTCCCGGCCGGTACTAGTCCAAGACTTGTTGACCGGTGTATGACCCTGGGTAAATAATTAGCCAAATGTAGTGTTATTCTGCAACCAAATCTATGCGTACTTGTAACGAGTAGAAGACAATAGAAAAGTCCACAGAGTTTTTTGGTGAGTAGAAAAGAAAATTGTGAAGAACTAATGTACTAAGAATGAATTATAAGTTTATGAAAATATATGATTTTAGAAGTCAATAAGAATGAACGGAAGTTAGAATATTACGCCTAGACATTTATGGACTTTTAAAAGTCTACATTGAATACACTTAAATGTTTAAAACTCTTGTACTTTTAAAATTTTGCCACTAATTCCTAATACAATACACCCCTTGAGAAACAAATAACAGTCTCTTGTTCGTCGAAGCGGAATACGGATCCATGCCAACCACAGTCAATGAAATCGCCCGGCCCCAACTACTTGTCTTTGAACTCCAAATACCAGAGCAATTTGCTCCACCTCTATTGCAATTATCAAGCTGCCAAAACACATTGCAAATACTTAAGTATTTCTTGGCGTACAAAAGTACAAAACATGTCATAAGTCATACTCCGTAACTTATTAACAGTTCATTTGTGATGAAGTACAACGGAAAATTTGCACAAGATTTGTTCCTTCTCACCAACACTCTGGATGTCTTCCCTAAAATTCTTCTTCCTCGACCATTCAATAAACTTGACGGTGTGAAGAATTCAAAATTCAATTACATGTTTACCTTATTTTGTATTTCGTCCTTGTACTCTTTTTTAAGATTAGATTCATTGTACATGAATCTACTTCATTCTCTTCTTACCTAATAGGCTAATAGCCATTGCATGATATTTCAATATACACGTGCATATGGGTGGACTCGGTCGCTGTTCTGGTCCCGGTCAGTGATTAGAGAAGCCCGGGTCCGACCCGGCTATATCCCGGTTTGGGCCAATTCTGGTCCCAGTCCCGTTCTATCTGTTTTTTGCCCATCTCCAAGGCTAAAAAAAATCAACGATATAGGAACGGAACAACCCGGTTCGGTCCCCAAATAGGTGAACCGGGAGTCCGGGATTGGGTACCCCTCTTGGGAGGGCAAGGCCGGTCCCAGAGTAGGTCCAGTCCCAATCAGTACCGGGTCGGACCGCTGGACCGGGTTCACCCCCTACACGTGCATGCTACATATACAGAGGTGACTCAGGTGAGACCGTGAGACAATGTGCACCTTTGTCTCTTTTATACTTTCTCTCTCCTTTTTCACCACCTCCACATACCACAAACAGGAATGGATTTAAGGGGTGGCGTGGGGGGGCGATCGCCCCCCTTGAACTCTCAAAATTTTCTACTATATATAATACTAGTTTTCTAGCCCGTGCGATGCACGGGCAGTACTTAATTTAGCTAATTTTAAATGAGATTTTTTTGGAATCATATACTCCGTATATGCGTATATAATGTGATGCAAAAGCAAAAAAATAAATTCAGGGATTGTTAGTTTACTTTTAACTTAATAAACTTAATGTCAATGACTTAATCATTCAATCATTAAGTAATATATTTACTTATTACTTATGATTTACTACGTAATTGGAAATATCATTTAATCATTCAATAAAAAAAATTACTTAATCATTAAGCTGGACAATAACAGGTCTTCCCGTTAAGACAACTATTAAGACGTTTTTCTTTCAATTTTTTTTTTTAAATTGGTTGTAGATTTACATTAATAAATGAATCTCTATATTGACACCATAATTTAAGAACAATACTAAGTTAATTTTTACACGATTTAGATTGTTTATTGAACATTAAAACGAACAGGATTTGCTTTCCTAAGATATTAGTAACTTGAAACTTATGGACAAAAAAAGTGACTATAAGTTACTATGTGCAGGTTTGATGGTCACTATGATGTAACACTTGAATATATTAATGAGTTCTATATAGTCACTTAAGTTACCAATGTCACATTTTTGTCCACTACTTATATTTTGGTTATATACTTGGAATTATTTCAACAAACAGCCTCATAAACAAATATCATTTAATCCAGGCATATCTTACCCAGACATGCGTCTCAATCCAGACTGAACTTAATAGAAAGAAGTTAACAACCCTTCAGTTTAATGGAGAGCCTGTTTGATAACACTAAAATTGATCGAATCAATTGATTGATTCTACTGAAATTGATTAAGTTAGGGTTGTATGGTATGCATAATTATGTCTTGATTATAATAGAGAGCCCTTTTGATACTCTTTTTTAATTACTACACATGAGTTCGTACAAATTCAAAAATTTGAGTTCAAACAAATGTTTATTACCCCTTCCAAATTTAAATTAGAAAATAACAAATCTATTTCAAATTTTATCAATATGATGTAACCATTATTTTCCTTGGATAAAGTAATTGTTATTGTTTTAAAAATTCTATTTAATTAAAAATTGGATTCCTGGCTAAATTGCAACATTCATTAATACATACAGTTTAAATACGGTTAAGTATAGCTAGCCTAAATTAATCTCTACGTAGGTTTTGTGTTTCTAAATGCTAAAATTAGAGTTTAAAATAAAGCATGCATCCCTACGTAGATTTTGAAGTTATTAAGTTACCAAATAAGTTGGATTTCCATATCAACGTGTAATAAAAAAAGAATGTTTACAACAATAAAAGTTTTAATATTAAATAAATAATTATTATATATGATGACATGGCAAGGTTATGTGGCGCGTTGTATGCTCTTAAAAAGTTCCTCTTATATATATATATATATATATATATATATATATATTGATTTTCATAAAATTTTCATATTTTAATTAGATTCGCCCCCCTTAATTTTTAGTTTCCAAAGTAATATATAGTCTTACCTAATGTAATACTCAATTGGAGATTTAAAAGAAGAAACATCTAATACTCCTAATTTTACATAAATTAAACAATCCTAATTTACATAAATTAAACAAATAAACAATAGAACAACTTATTGTTTAAGACTTAGGATACTTATTATATAAAAATTCCTATCATTGTAATGCTTAATTATCTTTATTAGATAACTAGTACTCGATTTTGTGAAATATATATCAAAACCCTCATTGGTAGACAAAAATTGCAATTCAAAAACCAATTCTTTTTTTCATAAGATTCATGTGGTTAAACAATGTAGAAGTTATTTAAAAAGTATTGATGAATGTGTGCCTATTAAACTCTTTATCTTCAAATACAAGTATACAACAACATCCAAGCCTTAGTCCCAAAAGATATTGAAGTCGGCTAACATGAATCGATACATGATATTACCACCAAAAGGAAAAGAAAGAAAATAAAGATAAAAAACAAGCTATTATAAAAAGATAATATAGAACGGGATGAATGTACTTAAAAATGATAAAATAAAAAGGATAAAAATAATGTGTATATATATAAGGATAAAAGAATTATATTTCTTTGATGTCATTTCTTATGCTTTAATGTATCGATACTTGTTTCTAGAGCACTTCAATTATAAACTCAGAATTTATTTAGCCATTGTCTAAACTTAGACTGAAGTATATTTAAATGTCATCGTGAATGTATTAATGTTTTTTGTTTTTTTAAAATAAATATAGCCGCAAAACCCTACACTAGCGAAAAAAATTCTCCCCGCTACATTACCGAAAAAAATTCGCCCGGCCACACTAGCGAAAAAAACTCAAAAAACATGACCTTGGAGACTGCCAAAGTTTCAATTTACAACTGCATTCGGTAAAGTGAGAAATATTACATCCATGATCCATGTGTTCTCAACAAACTATACCAAAGAAAGAAGATACTCCGTATGATAACAGTGATTCATGCAAGTGTCATTGGGAGTTTGGGACTCATCACTTCAGTCTTCACTCATACGCTCACTGCCCTCATCATATGCACCTGAGGAGTGAGAAGCAATGCACTATTGTCAGTATTACTTTATGTGCACAATTGCTTTATAGATAGATGAACAAACAATAACTTCAGTTCTGGCAAACGTACATATGCAGTTTTTTAGATAAAACCTCAATCACAAGAATCAGTGTGATTTCTGAAATTTGGAGTTGTGCTCACAAAAATATGAACATTGACTACAGTACTACATTTAAGTTTGTCACTCTACCTTTAAAGATTAGTGAAAGTACTTGTTTTTGTTTTCTACGGTTTACATAAACTTCTAATGTTTGTTTTAAACTTTTCCCTTACCCCACCATTGGTGGGAGCCTTTGCGGCACTGGGGTAATGATGATGATGATGATGAATGCATATAAATGTTTTACAATTATATTATCACCGACCTAACATACTGCCATCAAGTATAAGTTTTAAATATGCACTGCTGTTTTGTATTACAAGTCATTACTCATTATCCAAGACGATATATAGTACTACACTACTACGTATCAAGAGCCAAGACCAAGCATTTCAGCTCAACAATAGACCACACTATCCAAACTAAGGAAGATTTTGGGGATTGCTATTTAAAAGAAACACAAAAACTTAAGAGCAAGAAATATATTTTAAGAAATGCGTAGGATTTTAGGTCCTTGTGAATTGCATTCCTTCAGTTTCAAGTTACTCTAAAAAAAGTAAATATGCTCTAATATTACAAACAGTCCGAATCATTCTGGCTTTCTTTACTTAAGATGTCGAACTTATTGAAAATCTACTACAGAATACTTTTTTGGAAAATATATGATAAATTGTTGCACCATTTTATGTGATCAGCGCACTATCTCTCTTTTCTTTGGCACAATGGTTTCAAGCAAATTCAGAGACATCCAATAGATATAATATGTTCTTGCTCTAAAGTTTTTGTGTTTCTTTTTAGTAGCTCATCGTCTCACCTAATCATAAATAAGCTCGGCACTTGGTGAAGAACGCTGCAATCGAGTGAGCTCTTTCAGAATAAAAAATCTTCTTTCACTGGACAGATTAGCATCACTTGAAATTAACAATTTCTTGAGCCTGGGGGATCTCATTAGCAGAAACTTTGCAAGTCCCATTTGATTCCTTGTCCCAGAAAAGTTCAAGAAAGTAACAATCCTCAAGTGATCCAGTTTTATGTATGAGTATTCTTTAAGGCCCAACAATTTGACAATGGAGCTTTCCTCAGAACTTGCAAAATCATCAATGTCGTCCGCAAGCTAAAAAAAAGTTAGAAACTATATCATGCTCGTGACAAACTTTGAATTTGACAAACTATATCAACCTGGGTAAGCAAAAAATCATTAAAATTATTGTTCATTACTCACGTTGATTTGTATTTCTTGCAGATTTGGAGAGATCCCTATCACAAAAACTACACATAGCATCTCATGCAGATCCTCTAATGAAATCCCTCCAAGAAATAGAATGTTAAGATGGACTGCAGCAGCAAAACTAGGTCTAGTTGGGGCTCCACCGCCAGCTACACACTTCATGCATAAGCAGAAAACAAGATTGACACTCTTGATAATGCAAATATAAAGAAATATCACTAATTGTAATATACCTTCATGAAGTCATAATCTAAACCCAGATATCTAAGCATCGGAAGAGAACTGAAAAACTCTTCAAAGCTAGAGTTCCAGTGTCCATTATACACAGCCAGGTCATCTGAACAAATTACAACTTTTTCAAGAAGTGGGGTGTTCTTGAAACAAACAGATTCCATGACACTTAGAAACTCAAATGACCTAAGTCTAGGAGCATATATCTCAAGAGCATCATAAGTGTAAGAGATTTTTAGTTTCAAGTGTTCGAGTAAAGGGCAACAAGAAATAAGACTTGCAAGTATTTTAGAACAAATAGTCACGTCCAACATTTCAATGGAGAGAAGTTCACTAAATCCAGTGAAGCCACAAGGTGGGTGAACCAAACACGAATTAAGTGTCATGTGTTTCAACTTTCGGCATCCGAAAAATGACGAGGGCAATCTATACTCACCAGAACAAACACCAAGCACGAGTTCCTCAACATCATTTTTTGATAGAGTAAACAGTAACCAGTCAATCTCTGAATAAATTCTCATACCCGGAATTGAGAGTGTGACCTTGGTGATAGGACCTTTATGACAGAGTATAGCATGGAAGAGACTTTTAAGAAATGTAATAGACACATAATCATCCTCACCAATACTTGATCCTTGCCACAAAGTCTCATCAAGTTTAAGGTGTGGAAGCGTAGTCCAACTATACTTCCACTTTCTTGAGAGTACACTAGTTCTTGCTGCATCTTTTAATGGCAAACACATTAAGATACTTTGCTTTAAACTTTCATGGAGGTTGCTGATGATATCATGCTGATATTTGTTATCAATCAACATTATCTGAAAAATTGAAACTTAACTAATTATTGAACTTGAAAAGTATAGAGTATTAAATGTTGAAAATCAGGACAGAAACTCACACGTTTATAAAACACAAGAGAAACACTCTTAAACCCCGTGTAACTTAAACACTCACAACTTACCTATTAAATATATAAGATTACTATTGCACTGTTACTGAATAAACCACATTGATTGAAAAAATAAATTTAGACAAAAATGTGACTAGCTTTAGTACATGTATAACATTATGGTCACTCCAAAGGTAAATTAAACATAATTATAGCCGGTAAAAGCTACTAATACAATCATATTGTAAGTCATTATTTCATAAAATATATGAAACAATATTGTAATGCAAAAGTGATTTGCATTACAGTATATAGTACTCGTATAAGATAATTGTTTCATAGTCAGCTGAGAGCGAAAGATAAAAAGAAATACCAAGATGCTGTAAAACAAAATGGAGCACCCGAGCAAGTGCTAAGGCTTCAATTAACCCACAAATATACAGAGTATCAAAGTTAAAAGTAAATTTTACTTGTGAAGCGAAAGATTTCCCCAAAATCGGTAGATAACCCTAACTTAGAAGTAATTTGGTCTGCGGAAGAGGCAAAGGGGTTTACTCTTTTAAGGCAAAGGGGTTTTGCTTAATTCTTTGTCTTGTGAGTAAACATCAACCACATAATTTGTTTTTTTATTTCAAATGTACTTTGAAAAAAATCCGGTAGTAAAAGAATAAAATTAAATTGGGTATAATTAATAATATTGGGTATAATTTGCAAATATATATAATTCAGAGGTTCATAAATAAAATAATAATAGTACCAAAAATTAACAATTATAATAAAATTTCAAAAACTAAAGTACTAATATTTCGGAGTTTTTTTCTGTATTAATGATAATTAATTAATTAATTACGAAAATAGGGTTGGGTTAAAACTATTTACCAATATACTGCCCGATTAACCATGGTCGGGGTAAGTCGCCAAACCGTTTGGCGACTTATAAGTCGCCCAACAGTTGGGCGACTTATAAGTCGCCAAACGGTTTGGCGACTTACCCTTAAGTAAAATTATCGGGTAAGGCCACGCCACAGAACAGAACGCAGAAGAAATCCAAAAGCATCCTCTGGCGAACTGAACGCAGGCGAGGAAGACGACGGGTGCAGCTCCATCTCCGGCGAATCTCGTGCTCCGGTGACGGCGAGGTCTTCTCCATCTTGCCAATAATCTTTCATCTCCATCTTCTTCAACACTCTAGGTAAGTAAATCTCTCCAATTTATCTCATTTTTCATGTTAGGGTTTTGAATATTGAAAATTCGATTTTGTAAATTAGGAATTCATTTGTGAATTGATTTGTTGTGTAATGTGAATATGTAAGAAATGTTGAATTTTGATATGAAATTGTTTGTAAATTTAATTGTGTATTTTGAGATTTGGGTAGATTTGAATGTTGCTAAATTTGGGTATTGAAATGTAGACTTCGGATGTTTTCTTTTGAACTGAAATTTGCTGGTCTGGTCTGGTCTGATCTGGTCTGAACTGGTCTGGTCTGGTCTGGTAAACGTCTGGTCTCTGTGTATATTATAACTACGGAAGTCTGGTCTGGTCTGGTCTGGTCTGTTTAAGTCTGGTCTGGTCTAGTCTGGTCTGGTCTGTTTAAGTCTGGTCTGGTCTGGTCTGGTCTGGTCTGTTTAAGTCTGGTCTGGTCTGGTCTGTTTAAGTCTGGTCTGGTCTGGTCTGGGACTGAAAACAGTCCAAAAGAAAACATCCTTCAATGTAGATATCAACATTTGGGTATTTTGATATTGAAATGTGAATTGATTGTGAATTTTGTCATTTGGGTATATTACAATGTAGGTAGTGTTTTCTATTTAAAATTTGAATGTGTATAAAGTGTGTATATTAATGTGTACTCATGAAAATTGGACATGTATTTTTATTAGAATATGGATTTCTCAAGTTTCCCAATCATATGTCATTGGGGAGGGAACTATTATGAGGATGCTGGGCAAATATGCATTGAAGGTGGTAGAACCAGCTTTGTCATGGTTTCTCGTGGCGCATGCATGCTGGAGATTCTTCAAAAAATACATGCAGCCACAATGATTCATCCTAGCCGTTCTTTGCGGTTGAAAATGAAATTTCCCATGAACGGGGGAAAGTACATGCTTATGCCCCTCATTGATGAGCTAGCTATAACAAATATGTGGGGCATAACTCAGATGGAGGATATGTCGACGCTTGAGATATACATTGAGGAATCCTGTGACGCTTATGGTACTCAATCAACATCAAATGTTGTCGTATCTACGCATGATGTCAATGCAGGGGTGAATGCAGGGAACTCGTCAAAGGCTCCTGTACTGGACATGGTTATACAGGAAGATGGTAGGTATGTGCACAATGGTGCATCATTTGTGGATGGGCAGGGAAGTGATGATGATGCTGACGAGAACATCAATGGTGATGACATGACAGAATCTGATGAAGATGATGGTCATACTGTCACGGCAACTGCCCCGTCTAGCCACTTTACTAGAATGTATGATCTCCCTGAAGGCTTTACTGATGCGTGGATGAGTGGATCAGGTGAGAAAAGGTTTACCCCCGATGGTGAGTTTGAGGTCAGTCAACAGTTTGACAACAAAGAACAAGTCATCAATATGGTGAGCTTGTATTCTATCAAACGGAACCAATTTTATCGGGTCATAGAGTCCGATAAACACAAGTGGGTGGCACAATGCAAAAGGAAGAAAGAATGTGATTGCCCCTGGACAATACGCGCCACAAAGAACAAAGGCAGCCTTGACACCTTCACAATTGTGCGCTATCCTGGACCTCATTCTGCTACGTGCGTTGGCAACACCGACACTACCGATCACGTGGCTTTGACTTCTGATTTCATTTGTAAAGATGTGATTGACATTGTTCGCACTGATCCTTCTCTTAAAGTGCATACTATCATTCAGATGCTGAAGGAAAAATATGGGTATACGGTATCATACCGGAGAACATGGATGAGGAAGCAAAAGGCCATAGCAGAAATATTTGGCGGTTGGGAGAAGTCATATTCTGAATTGCCCCGTTTCATGACAGCGCTCCAACATTCAAATCTTGGAACTATTGTTCAGTGGTACCCACCCCCCAATACTCCCACAGGTTATATGCAGTTTCAAAGAGTTTTTTGGGCATTCAAGGCATCAATACATGGTTTTAAGCATTGTCGACCCGTACTTACTATTGACGGTACACACTTGTATGGAAAGTACAAGGGTACATTGCTCGTGGCCATGGGTTGTGATGCGAACAACCAAATATTTCCAGTGGCCTTTGCAGTTGTTGAATCTGAGAATGGAGATAGTTGGCCATGGTTTATGGCATGTATTAGGCAGTTTGTCACTTCTAGGGAGTTGTGTGTCATTTCTGATAGACATGGAGGTATTATCAGGGCAATGAATGAGGTGGGCAGTACTTGGGAGGAACCTTATGGGCATCATAGGCTATGCATCCGCCATCTTGCATCAAATGTGCATACTCATTTCAAAGACATTCATCTAAAAAATCTTTTTGTCTGGACCGCACGACAACATCAGAAAAAGAAATTTGATGGCGGGTTCAAGAAGATAGGTGAAATGAGTTTGGAGGCACGACAATTTTTACCAACATGGCAACATTCCCCCGGAAATGTGGTCACTGCACCATGATGGCGGGTACAGATACGGTACCATCACTTCTAATCTGGCAGAGGTTTTCAATAGCGTGATGAAAAATGCAAGATATTTGCCCATCACCGCTTTGGTCCACGTTTCTTTTTACCGGGTTAATGCTTACTTTGTTACTAGGCGTGAAACTAGTAAAATGAGGCTGACACAAGGCCACGAGTACTCCCCATACATCACATATTTAATTGAGAAAAATAGAGAAAAGGCAAAGCATCACAGTGTTACTCCATTTGATTTAGGACGAGGTATATTTCAAGTGGAAACCGGTTGTGGTGGCCGAACGTTGGGGAAGGGTGGGAGAAAACAAACTGTCCATCTAAAACTGAAAACTTGCACTTGTAAAAAGATGGAGATATATAAGATTCCACGCTCCCATGTGTTAGCCGTGTGCAGACAACGTAGTTTGTCTTATGCTCCATTTGTGGATACGTTTTTCTCATCTGACCAATACGCCGCAACTTATCATAGAGTCTTCAAACCGATTCCTGATCGTGAATATTGGCCTACTTACAATGGACCCGAAATCGTGCATGATCCATCCATGCTTCGGGCTAAGGGAAGACCAAAGTTGACACGTATTAAGAATGAGATGGATGAAGGTCCACGAGGAACGGTTAGAATATTATTCTTTATTTGCATTTACATCTAAGTCTTTTATCAAGACTAAAAAATATTATTTGAATTGGAATCTAAATAGAAAAACTAAACAGACTCGGTCTAATTCCACATAGTGTTGGACCCGGTTCTGGACTGGGTCCATGCCTACCTGAAATCTAGTGCCTTATGGTTACCAACCACCTACTTTATCAAACGTTAACTTTTTTATAAAACAAACACTTTTGAGATGAATCTTTAACTTTTTGAATGGCTATCGGGAATGATTCATTTACCAATGTTATATACGAATCAAATAATTTATGTTCGGTTGGGATTCGAATTCGTATAAGACTATTCGGATTCAAAAAATTCAAATACAAATAATAATACTAAAATATGATTCGAATCGTAATTAAATATAAAAAATATCAGCATGTTCAATTCATGTTAATCAAATATATTCGATTAGTTTTGTGTATATTAATCATAAAATTGATTAACTTTAGTATATTGTGCACAACCACAAAACGCATTGATCCATTAAACGCATTGTTGTCAAATACCTATTGATCTGATGGCATCACTGTGACACTCCAAGGAGGAGGTCACAGGTTCGAATCTCATCCGAGTTCAAGGATGTTGGCCTTAACATGGAACAAATACTATATTAGATTAGAAAGAATCGCCAAAAAAATTTAAAGAAAATTGTAATGTTACTAATTAAATTTTAAAAACACATTAAGTCATAGCATACATATTGAAACCCTAGGGCTAAGAGGTGGTGGCACTATGGGTTTTCCTTTGCTTTTCCATCTCAACTAGCTTCAAGGGCGGCAAGAGCATCGCATTGCATCTAGCGTTTTCCTTTGCTTTCAACGTTTTAGAGCTTTGTTTCTCATAGTAGGAGTTTATACGTAAGTGAAAAGTGACATGTGCACCCATATGAGGTAGTGGTGTTTTATTCCCTAGAATTGCTTTCTTTTGCCAATTTTGATAGTCATTCTATGTATGGTTTCTTCTCAAATAAATGATGTAAGTGCTTCCACGGTGTAATGCTATTGTTCAATTGCTATTGATGTTGTACGTTCATCAAGGTTTAGATATTTTTTTTCTCAAATCCCTTTATGCTTCTCAACTCATTATGACGACACCATTGATTCGCCCTCCTCCAGAACCACCGCCACAAGAGGAAAGAGTAGTACAAGATTTTTATCAAACTATTAAGTACAAGACTGGTAAATGTCATTGGTTTTCAGACAATCGAGACAGATCTACTTATCCAATGGAATCAAGCTACGTGACATAACTGGAAATCAATGGCTT